CTCTGTTTGCTACCTGCAAGCCATCTGTGCCTCTTAGGTCGGGGGGGGCTGCTCGGGAGGCTCCCGTTTTCCGTGAACGCCTGGGGCTGTTCCACGAGAAGGCGGCCCTGGGTGCTGCTGGGGCTCATGTCCATGTCTACTCCTGCAGGGGAGGACCGCTTTGGGAGACGAGTCATCACCTTCAGCTGCTGCCAGATGCCCCCCTCCCACGAGCTCAACCACAGACGTCTGCTGGAGTAAGTCCCGTCGGTGCCTGTGTTCACACACGCCCCTCTGTGTGTGCGTACGCTCCCCGTGCTCACACGCCCCCCCGGCCCCGTGCACGCACGCTCCGAGTGCACGCACGCCCTGCAGGCTGCCTTCCCCACCACCGTGTGTGTCTCCCTCTGCCCGCGCACATGCCTTGCCCTCACCATCAGCACAGAGGGGATGCTCAGGGTTAAAGGCTCATAAATGTAGATCGACTCGCAGGCCCCAGGTGGGAGTTTTACCCTGTGCCAGGTCACCAGAGCCACCTGTTGGACTCATGGCTTCGCAGCCCAGAGTGGCTTTAGGTCTACAGTCTGAAGCTCTGAGCCTAGACCCAGGGTACTGGGGACACGGACCTCCCTGCCTCTCTAAGCCACACGGACCCCCCCCTCGGCATCTGCTTCGTCTCCTCCGCGCGGAAGGAGAGCCTTCCACTTGCCTGCGTGCGGCCATGACCGCTGTCACCCGCCTCCGTCTTCTCCCTTGCTGCTGGTGTCTGCGCGCTCTGGGTGTTGGTGTGCAGCTCCTGAGGCCTCCTTCCTGGCGGGAGCCTGCACCTCGTGGGAGGTGCTGGGAGGGTCGGCGCATCCTGACCGCAGCCCCAGCACTGCTCCCGTTCCCGGTTCTGACCGTCCCGGCCCCCACCCACTTCTCCACCCACGGCATAGTGCACACTGGTCATGCCCCAGAGCCCCCAGCTCTAATGAAAACGTGAGCGGGTCCCAGAAGCACTTGAGAGCCTTGGGGGGGGTTGGTTTGTGAGAATCCCCTTGACCCAAGGCTCCAGTCTGGTCTGTTAAAGGATCTTCTGACGGCAGTGGGAAATACAGTGTGGCAGCAGGAACCCTGCTGGCCCCAGGGGCTCAGGAGTCCTTAGCCCACACTGCTGCTGCATGGCAAGATCTGCCATGGAGTCCATGAGGTCACCCCGGGCGGCGAGCTGGTGCTCCTGGGCGGTGCTGGCCTCCCTCCAGCATGCTTGCACATGTGGGGCACACAGAGAGAGGGGTGCCGCGTAAGGGAGAGCTCCTATCTGGGGTCCTCCAAGGTTAACACGGGTCCCTTGCCAGATTATTCCTTCTGCGGCATCCACAAACCCATGACCTGAGGGTCAGCTGTCCCTGAAGGTACACTGCTGGGCCAGGAGGTGTTCAGGATTTGTGCCCTTGTAAAGACAGAAGGATCCCCGACAGACAGAAAGCAGGAGGTTGCAGGAGCCAGGGTAAATCGTTCATGGCTATGGGCTTTCTTTTGGGCCATGAGAATGTTTGGGAGCTGGATGGAGGTGGTGGTTGCACAACATGGTGGATATGCTCAATGCCACTGAACTGTTCATTTTAAAATGGTTAATGTTATGTTATGAATTTCACCTCAATCCAAAAAAGAAAAAAAAACAAAACTATCTCTGACAATAATGGGTATATTGTGTTTTTTCATGTGCCTGCCTCAGAAACCTTCACTACCAGAAGGAAGTGGTCAGCACAGCCTCTGTGAACAGTTGTGTAGGTTGTTGACTGCACAAGGGCGACACAATGATGGGCTGCCATCCAGCTGCCTCTCCTCTCACCCAATGCTGGAGGGTGTCTATCTAGAGAAAGGAGCACCTTTTTCTAATTTACTCAAAGGTGCCCTGTGGGCTTCTTGGCCTTGCTAGGAAGAGCGCCAAGATGGAGTCTTTTCCATGTTTCCATGGAAAACATTGCCACTGCACACACCATCCTCCCTCTTCCTGTCCAAGCAGTAGCTTTCTTGTGGCCAGATGTGCGCTCCTATTTTTGCAGTGGGTGAAGAAATAAGTCCGTGTCTTTGAAGCTCAACCAGTAATTTAGTTAATGACTTCCTGCGCTGAGCACGCCGAGCGGCAGATGTACCCTGACAGGGAGAGAGCTCGGCTTGCTCGCGGGAAGAACCGGGGAGCGCGCTGGGCCAGAGGAAGGGTGCCTGCTTGGACTGGAAGTGTCCAAGTGTCCAGTGTGGATAAGTGAGCTGACCAGAGACGTTCCCCTGGTCTCCCCTCCCAAGAGCTGAGAAATGCAGAGGCGACCATCCATGCAGGATTGAGGCATTCCTGGCGGTGCAGGTGGTCTGTGGACTTACAGATCTGAGCCTGGCTTCTGTCTTCGAGGGGGTCAGAAGGATGGCCTTAGTGAAGAGTTCCCCGGTGGATTAGTCCAAAGGGTGTTTGAGCAAGTGCGCCGGAGAGTGTCTGGGCACTGGGGCTGCTTCCCCAACAGATAAGCCCAAACCTCGGACACGTCAGGTCAGCTTTGCCTCAGGTTTATACATCAGAGACGACAGGTGGGAGCGCGTGGCTCTCTGGGGGCAGGACAGCGTGGGCAAGAGTGTGGACTGCTCCTTTCGCATCCTGGCTCTACCCCTTCCTGGTTCTCCTCGGCCGGCCTCAGTTGACTGCTCTGTAAAATGGGCCTATAGTGCCTGCCTCCAGGGCTGTGGTGGGGATTAAGTGAGAAAATTCGTGCAAAGCCTGCTGTTCAGAGAGTCAGTGCTTTGGGCCGAGGGTGCTCTGATGATGCTTGTAGTCAGACGAGCAGAGGAGAAGCTGACGTCCTTTTGTGCAAGACAAAGGTCCCCCCGTGGTGTCCTGAGCCACTGAGCACTTGCAGACAGGGGCTGCTGGGTGTTTCTCCTGGAGCTGTGCTGCGGATGCTTGTCCCCAGGAGCACCCGGCCCACACCCGTTGGACCCAGAGCTCCCTGCAGGCTGCCTTGGCAGGGCACACGGCGAAAGCAGGCCTGCTCCCTGCCACGGGCTCCCGGGAGGCGGGCTGAATTAAGGATGAGATGTGCTTTAGGTGATGCCTCGGGCAGCCCGGTCTGACCTGCTTGATGTCGGCGGCCCCTGCCAAAATGACGAGGGACGTTGGAGCGGTCCTCCTGCGGGTGGCTGGACGAGGCCTAGGGCTGGAAGCGATCGCGGAGCTTTGCGGGACTCATACTGTGGCATGTGGTCATGTGACAGAAGCAGGGCAGAGTCAGGACTCTGCTTTATGTTGACGAGAAAAAACTCTCAGAACTAATCTGGAAGGGAGGAATTGCATGCTCCTAGAGATGCAGCAGAACGGCACGGGGTCTGTCCTGGGTTTGCCTCTCAGTGTGGCCTCTGTTACTTCCCGCCGGCTGCTACTAACTCATCACGGGGTTGGGTGGCATGAAACAGTGCATCTATTCTCACAGCCAGAAGGCCAAAACCAAGGTGTTGGCAGAGCCGGGCACCCCGTCACTCTCTGCTCTGCCTCTCTCTTCTCAGACACAGCCCCCTTCTGTGATTTCCCTTTTTTTCTGTCCTGTTGGGACACAGGTGGTATGTTTAGCGCCCACCTGGATAATCTAGGAGAAACACCCCCTTGCAACAGCCTTGCCTTAGTCACACCTGCAAAGACCCTTTTCCAATAAGGTCACATTCACGGGCTCCCGAGGTTTGACGTGGATGTCTCTTTTGGACCATTTTTTGGCCTGTCACATCCGCTTGCTAGCTGGGTGACTGTGACCTTCAGGGCTCAACCTCTCTGAGCCTCCTCTAACAAACGAGGACAGGGCCCTCTTGCAGGTGGGTCCCCACAGGCCCTGGTTGGGTCCCCCCGTGACCTGGTGGGGCTGGCACCCACTGGGCGAGCACGGCTTCTGTTCTGGGGAAAGCGTCCCTGGTTTCGGTGACAGTGACAGGGTGATTTTCGAAGCCGAGTCTGCTTTGTGCCCAGGTATTTGAAGCACACGCTGGACCAGTACCTGGAGAGTGATTACACCGTTGTCTACTTCCACTACGGGCTGAACAGCCGGAACAAGCCGTCCCTGGGCTGGCTGCAGAGCACCTACAAGGAGTTTGACAGGAGGTGTGTGTGCTCGAGCCCTGGGGGGGTGGGGGGGTGGGGAGGGACCCAGGGTCGCACTGAGTGGTGGGGAGCCCGGGTGAGAGGAGGGGTCGTGGCTGTGCTGCGGGAGGCGGGGAGCTAGGCTGAAGGAGCTTGGGGTGGGTGGCTTGTGACATGGGCGGGTCTCCTGCCCCGGTGGCCAGCTTCAAGCTACCAGCATGACGCCACTGGACACAGATCAGGGGGACACTCGGTATGGACTTCCCTTATTCAGATGCAGCAGACAAATAGCGTTAAGGGCACAGGAAGGAGTAAATGTAGTAAAATAATGAGCAAGTGATGAGTTTTGAATATTTATTACCTTGGTGCTTAATACGATTTACTTAATTACGTGTTTATATTATTTAATCTGTTTTTCACAACTGGTTCCCCAAATGCCTGAAATTCTGACAATCAGTCGGCTCTTGTGAGTGGATAAGAGCTGGCCAGTGTCCCCCTGGCTGACCGCCGCTGGCTTGTGCGGACGGCCCTCCTCCCCTCAGACAACGCCAGGCGGGGCCACGGCCACCCTGCCCGCCCTTGCTGTCTCCACCCCGGGTGGTGCCAACCTCCTTGGCTTAGCCTCATGGCCTTGGACTGAATTATTCTGGAATGAGGGGAGCAAGCAAGCTAAGTAGCACCCCATTTTTTAAGTGGGTGCCCCATACCCCGTGGTGTGGGTGTGCTGTGGCTCACTCCGCAGCCTGCCTCTGTGAACGGCTCAGCGAGCTCCCCGCCTCCCGGTGTGGGCGGGCACCCGTGAGTGGGGGCTCTGTTCTTGCAAACTGTAAAGTGCTGCGCGCATGCCAGTCGGTGGCGGCGGACGAGAGGTCCTGATTTTCCTGAATAGGAACACCAGCTCACGATACCGGTGAGCTTTGCACCTGGTATTTTTAAATCCCACCCTGGCCACTTTATGCACCTGTGTCGGGGGTCTCAAAGGCCACCTCAGGTTTGGTGGTTCACTGCAAGGACTCACAAAACTCAGACCAGCACTCATTCTAGAGAGTGTGGCCCACGTGGCCCTGCCAGGGGGGGCGGATGCAGCTCCCAGATCTGCAGGCTCCACTTGGAGAATTTCTGGAATAGCAGACCTGAGTCTGCTCCCGTTTAACACAGGGAGAGACTTCTGTGGCCAGAGTTCCTTTCGTTGTAGGAGAATTGCCCGCCAGTTTTCCCACGGCTTGCCCGTCCTGCCGCCGCAGACCCATGCCTGTTAGGAAGCTGGGATTTTGTCCGTCTGCTCTGTTGCTTAGCCAGGACCAACCCGCTGGCGCCGTACTTGACATCGTGGGGAAGCCAGTGCTGGTGACGCAACTGCCCAAGAAGACAGTTCAGATGTTCTTCTGCTCATTGGTGCTGTCGTACACCTTAGCAAAGCTCTCAAGAGTTCTAGAAACCTCTCTGAGTTCTCGGGGAAATAATCACCGCCCCCCCCCCCCCCCCCGCCCGTCGTGCAGCAGCCCAGATGCTGTGGTGGTTCAGGAGCTTGGGTGTGTCTTTGCCCTGCCTCTGATCACCCAGTCCTCCCGGCAGGAGATACAACCTCCCTCTGCCTTGGTTTCCCCGTGCAGCTGATGGCGTCACTGCACGCATTCTGTTGTTGCCACAGTTTGTTGCCTTGTACACGCAGAGTGTTTAGAACAAGGCCTGCCTGGCCCTAGCAGATACTCAGTGTTTGCTGCTAACATCGTTTTAAAAAATTGTTTACTGCCCTTTTGTGATTAATTTATCACAATTTCTTATACACCTTACATGCACAGCACCCCAAAACAGTCCCATGAGGTCAGCTGTATTCTCCCCCTTCCAAAGGAGAGGAGGTTGGTGCTCAGAGAGGTTAAGTCACGGCTCAGCTGGGATTCTAGCTCAAGCCCGTGTGGTTCTGCCACTTATCCTGCCTCAGGCATGGCCATAAACAGGTGCCAGGAGAGAACCCCGGGAATCATGGTTGGAGACCCTGGAGTCTGGACCGGGCTCTGCCGCCTGTTGGCTGTGTGACCTCAGGCAGCTGTGTGACCTCTCTGAGCCCCGGAGTCCTCATTTGGAAGTGAAGAGAACACGTGCAGAGGCTCCCCAATGCCCGAGAATGAACAGGAATGTCCGCAGGCCTGGCCCCTTACCTCTGACTCTGACCCTCTGGGGGTGGGGCCTGGGGATTGCCCACACACCTGCATTGCTGTCCCTGGGATGCACTGCCCCGAGGCCTTTCCGGGGCATGAGGGGCAGAAGGCAGGGCCCGGCTTGCATCTGCCCTCCAGAGCCCAGGGACCAGCAAGTGTCTGGCCAGCCAGAGGAGGTCAGGCAGAAGAAACACAGCGAACATTGGAGGGTGCTCCTACATGGGCAGGGGGCTGGCACCAGAGGTCTCCCTGCAGCTCAAAAGCTGACACCTGTGTCCCCCCACAGGCCAGCCATGCATGCGGAATGGCCAGGCCCCCTCTGCCCCTGAGGGGCAGGTGGCTAGGGGTCCGGGCACCTGGCCTGATTCCCGCGCACCCACTAGGGGGAGCCAGTGCACGCGGCTGGGCCTCCCGCAGGTTTCAGCTCCAGGCGGGCTCGTGATAAAACAGCTCGGCTTCCGTGAGACCCAGGGAAGAGGTTCGAGAGGTCTGCCCGACAGCCAGAGTGGAGCCTGCGGTTGACGACATGGTGTCGTGCCCTTGAAAATTTGTTCAGAGGGTACATTTCGTGTTGAGTGTTCTAACCACACACACAAAGCCAGGGTATGCGAGGGACACTTTGTAGACGATGGATCGGCTTGTTCCCATGACGGTGGTGAGGGCATCACGGCGGATACATGTGTCCCAGCTCCCCACATCATGCCCGTGAAATCTGTCCAGCTCTGTGGGTGCCAGTGACCCTCCAGTAGAGCCGCGATGAGGAGCTAGGCAGGCGGTGATCACTTACCAGGAGCAGGTGCGGGGCCGGGCATGTGACTCCTCACCCGTTGGATCCTGTTCTTGTCCCTGCTCTGTAGCTCAGGGAGCGGGCTCTTCGGTCGCAGTGGTCCCAGGTGGTGTGTACCGGGTGTGGGACAGTGGACGTTTTCCCAGACAGTCTCACTCAGAGGGAGAACCCATTTCCGAGGGGGAGACTGAGGCCCTGAGGGGTGGGGGGAAGCGGATTCGGCTGGGGCTTGTGTCCACGGGGCTCACTCCAGGCTGGCCTTCTGAGTGACACCGTCCTGGAGAGAAAGCAGGCAGCACCTTGTGTGACCCTCGCAGAGAGGGGCTGCCCAAGCAGGAAGGCACCCTGGAGCCAGAAGCCGCAAGCCCTCCGGGCCCCTCCCCACTGTCTCCCCGAACGTGCGGATTCATGGCAGATTCAGACTGGAGGCAGATCTTTATTTTTATGCAGATGAGACTCTCCCGAGCGTTTGGTGCATCCGAGTTCTTATGAAAGCAAAAGATCTGCAGACGTGCGCTGCTTCTATTATGTTCGGGTTTCGAGTGGTGTCAGCACTTACGGTTTCTTATATGAGAAGCGCCTGTGCTGCCTCCCCCGTAGCCCCGGCCCCTGCCCCGCCCCCGGCACGGCCTCTCCGTCTCGTCATTTTTATTCTCCTGCTTCTGCTTTTTTAGTGATAAGTTTGGGAAAAAAGTAGTCTATTTCAACTACTTGAGTGAGCTCCGCGAACACCTCAAGTATGGCCAGCTGATCGTCCCCCTGGAGGTTCTGCGGTGAGTCGGACCCTGTCCCCAGAGGTGAAGAAACACCCCAGGGGATGCCACAGGCCTCGGCCCATCCCGTTAGTGTGGAAGGCTGCGCCTTCAAACGTGCGCCCCGCAGATCTGGCCCCAAGACATGCAGCGTCAGCAAGGGTGCTAACTGCTGACTCAGGGAGCTGAGCCTGCAGCAGGCTGTGCACGCAGACGCGGGGCTCTTCCCTCCCCCCGTGGCAAACTGATTTAAAAATACTAAGCCATCGCGGTAACTGCTGTTCGCCGCCTTGGAGTTTACCGTGTTTGGGAGCAGAGGATCAGGGGAGTTTCTTGGGCGTGTGGATAACGCCGTATATACGGAATGCAATGTTCTCAGGCGCGTCGCAGGTGCTCTGGAAGCCAGCCCACCCGGTGGCTTTTGCTGAAAGCCTATTCGAAAGCCTATTCGCTACTTGAGTTTATATGGCAGCGGGGATCACCACTCCACAGTCTCTCCCATGGGGTGCAGAGGAAGGCGTGTGGCCGGCTGGCCCCACAGCCACGCAAGGGCAGGTCTTGGACCCCCGGCCCTTTGCATCTCCCTCTCCGGGGGCTCCTTGGAGGGAGCAGGGCCCTTGCCGTGCTGCAGGGAGGTGGGCAGGCTTGCAGGGGCAGGGGAGATGTTGAGCTCTCCTGGGCGCCCAGTCGCACGCCAGAAGCTGGGCACACAGAACCATGTGGGGAGTGACCCTGCCCCCGGGATGCTCCCAGGTGGTGGGGGGCCTCAAGTCGGTGACAACAGTTGGGGAGGGGACTAGTGGCAAGGGGATATCGGGAAGAAATGAGTTTCCAGGGGACAGGTGGCTGGGTCAAGAGGTGGGGAAGGGTGCTTCCAGCAGAGGGAAGCCTTTGTGCGGACATGTGGGTGAAATGTTGGCCAGGGGTTGGCAGGAGAGATTGGACATTTGCTGGGGTTGGATTATCCTCTCTGCCTTTTGTGTGAACACCACGGTCGTGGGGGAGAGTGTGTGTGTATGCATGTGTGTGGGATGGTGGTGTGGCACGTGGGCCCAGAAGGACGAGACGAGGGCGTCCTACAGATGTTCGTGGGGCGTCTGGTCCCCGCGGCCCGCGGCTCCTCCCCTGCAAGGTGAGAGCTGTGCTTCTGCTATGTCTGCAGGTATGACGAGAAGCTCCAGAAGCTACACAAGGGCAGGTCGCCCCCTCCCGCCAGGACACCACCACCACGGCCCCCTCTGCCCACCCAGCAGTTTGGCGTCAGTCTGCAATAGTAAGTGAGCCGGGATGTGGACTGCTGGTTTCCTCTGGGGGACCGTGGGACACTCGTGTCGCAGGGAGGCTGTGCCCAGACCTTTGTCTCCAGCAGTCCCCCTTACCCCTGCAGAGAACCTGAAACACGTGCTTTTCCTGGAGGCGGGAGCACTGATTCCATCTGTGTCTACATGCCCGTGTGCAGGGGACCCAGCGGCAGGCAGGGGACAGGGTCCTTGGGGTTCTTGCCCATGTGCAGGGGACCCAGCAGCAGGCAGGGGACCAGGTCCCTGGGGTTCTCAGCCGTGTGCAGGGGACCGAGCGGCAGGCAGGGGACCGGGTCCCTGGGGTTCTCGCCGTGTGCCGGGGACTCAAGCCACGGCAGGACGCGTGCCACCAGCTTCAAAGTGAAGCACAGCCATGTGCTTTGCTTTGGCCAGTGAGGCAGGGGCGGCCGTGGGGCAGGTCCCATCGGGAGGGGGTTTTGGGAGCCAGTTCACGGTCTGCCTTGTGGTGATGGTGGCCGGGTGGAGATGCCCGCCTGCCTCACTGGCTGACCACAGTGTGCCTCCCGTGGACGCCCACGCCGGACGTGGAGCACGAGTGAGAAATGAACTTCTGTCAGGTCCAGCTGCTGGATCGTGGACCGTTCGTATCACAGCATGCCCTATCCTTCCTGACTGATCTCACCCCTTATTAGCCACGTGACCTTGAACTCACTCCCCATCTCAGCTTGTTAACTTATTTCTGGAGCGAATGAGTTGGATGATGTGAACGTTAACATTTCCTTGTAAAGGATTCTGGGCCAACTTCATTTCTTTGGAGACTCATCCAGTGGCACCTCCTCCAGGAAGGCTTCCCTGATGCTCTAGGCTGAATACAGGGCCCTCCTGCCTCACCAGCCCATCCGAGCAGGCTGCCGTGGGGAGCCTCCCCAGGTGTTTCCACTGCTTGGCCGTGAGCACCGTGTCCATCCTGGTGTCCTCTGCTGCTGCCCATAGGCCAGACAAAGGAGATGTTTTATCTGACAGCCACGTGGGGCAGTTGGGTCTGGTCCATACAATGTGTAGAAAGCCAGGGTCTGGAGGGTGGTGGTGGGTCCCAGATAGCGGTTTGCTCAGTCCCATGTAAGAGAGTCATTTCTTGTTGGAAGCTTGCATGCAGTTCGTTTTCCTACACCCAGATCTGATGACCTTTAAGACCCTTGGTGGGACTTGATACAATTTGAAAGCTTGAGCATTGACACTCTGGACAGTGTCCTGGCGAGGGCATTGGGGGATGCCCAGCTGCCACCTGGGACTTGTCACTTGCCTCTCCTAAGCCATCTGGGTATGGGGACTCTTCATTGTCCTTTTGTAGGGGCTGTGGGGCTACAGGGGAGACAGATGCTGGGGACCCCCTCTTTCTTCCTGGCCTAGAGTGAAGGAGGGCGGTGTGTGACAGGAAGAATAATGGCCCCCAGGGACGTCAGTGTCCCTGTGATTGTGTCACCTTACATAGTGAAGGAGACCTTGCAGATGTGATTCAGTGAGGGATCTTGGGATGGGGAGGGAAAGAGCCTGGATTATCCGGGTGGGCCCAGTGTCATCACGAGGGTCAGAGTCAGAGAGGAGGCTTGAGGACGGAAGCAGGACGCAGAGGTTGGAGTGATGTCAGGGAATGCCTGTGGCCCCAAGGAGCTGGAAAAGGTAAGGAATGGATTCTCCCCTAGAGCCTCTGTAAAAAACAGCCCCATTGACCCATTTTAGCCTCTGACACCTCCAGGAGTGTAGGATCGTAAGCTCCTGCCATTTTGAACCATGGAGTCTGTAGTAATTAGTTACAGCGGGCATAGGAAGCTGAGACCTGCAGGGAGAAGTGTGTGGGGGGAGGGAGGTGTGCCAAAACCTGATTCCCAGAGCACATGATGGGGGCTGGCTGGGAGGGGCTGGGGGGCTGGGGGTGGGCCTGAGGGCGAGGCTGGCACACGGTCAGGAGGTGGGTAAGGAGGTGGGGGTCCATACCTTGGGTGTGTCCCAGCAGCTAAAGGTGGGCCCTGTTTTCCAGAACTTTCTGCGATGATAGACGTGGTCTGCTGGTCTGCACTGCCCATTGTGCTGTCGAGCTCTTGAAATGTGGCTGATACAGCACAGGCACTGAATTTCTAACTTTAACGGATGTGAATTTAAATGGCCCTGGCCAGCCTGCAGGACAGTGCGGCTGTAGACCCCTGCCTCCCCACCTGGACTCATACACAAGTGGTGTCCCCTTGAAGAGCCACTTTGGAAGCACTTCGTGAATGCAGTTCAAATACAGTGTTCCCAAATATATCTGGAACAAAAATGTACCAAATTTTCCTTCTTTACACACTGTAAAAATGTGCTGGTGTGACCCCAGCACCCTTGAGGCCCGCCGGGGAAGGCAGGTAGAGATGCACCTGCAGTGACTATGGGGGTGGGGTCTTGGGGGTGCTGAACCTCAGCTCTCAGACAAGGGGCCCAGGTGGGTTTCTGAGTCTTCTGTTGTCCGCTCTGTGCTTTCGGCCTGGCCTGTGGGTCAGTGCTGGTGCTGCCCTTGGGATGTGCTGGCTGATAACAGGTCCTCGGTGGCCATGCCTAAGGCCTCCCGTGCTTCTGTTATCAATCCCTTAGCCTGACGACCCCAGCAGTGCCTTTCAGCTTGCCTGTCTTGTGTTCAGAACCACTTCTGCGTCCGTATTGTCCAACAATACTTTAAAAATGAAAAACAAAAAAAACACACCTAGCTCATGGATTTCTAGAGCCAACTACCCGAGTACAGAGTGGGGGAAACACCCTTGGCCTTCTGTCTTGAACAGATGCCTTCCAGAATGTGTTCACAGAGCATTTGACCCCCAGAGCTCTCCGTTAGCAGATCGAAGACGGATATTAGAAATGTCCTTTTTTTTTTTTTTAAAGATTTGATTTATTTGACACAGAGAGAGAAAGAGTGTACAAGCAGGGGGAGCAGGAGAGGGAGAAGCAGGCTCCCCATTGAGCAGGGAGCCTGACGTGGGGCTCGATCCCAGGACCCTGGGATCATGACCTGAGCCAAAGGTAGACGCTTTAACCCACTGAGCCACCCAGGTGCCCCTAAAAATGTCGTTTATAAAGGCCTTGGTTCATTTCTGTTCCGGGGCCATTTGTAACTGTAAAAATCAGTTCATTGTATTTTTTTTTTCTTTTTTTATGCCCAGGGCAGGGCTTGAACTCACGACCCTGAGATCAAGAGTCGTCTGCTCTACTGACCGAGCCGGCCAGGCGCCCCCAGTTCATTATATCTTTAGGGAATATTGAGTATCATTGGACAGCCTTTGAAGAACATTCTGTGTGTGCCACTTTGAGAGATAATCCATGGGCTTGCCTCTTTAAATTAATATTTTACGCCGTTTCATTGCAAATGACTACAATAAAATGGCAATAAACATATTAAATAGAGCACCAAATATGTAATTTGTTTGGACTGTGAATGAATGGAAGTCGTTAAAATTCATAACCAAATCCTATTCACAAATGTTAATTTGCTGAGTTAAGTTCAGAAGTACACAACAGAAAGCTATCACCTTAGAACAAGCTAATTAATATATTAAGGGGGAGTCAGAGAGTCAAGGTATCTTTGCTCTTTGCCATCCCTGAAGAGGGAGAAATGCACCTGTGCATCTCGTACAGCTCCATCTGGGCAGCTGTAGGGTAGTCGAAAGAGGGCAGGTAAATAAGGGCCTCCTTCGGGTAAGGGAGGGGACGCAGGTCCCAGCTTTGGGAAGTCAAGCCAATGACGTAACTCACCCCGGTTTCTTTCCCTGTAAGTGGACTTAAAACCGTGCCCTCCTGGGGCACCTGGGTGGCTCAGTCATTGAGCGTCTGCCTTCGGCTCAGGTCATGATCCCAGGGTCCTGGGATCGAGCCCTGCATCGGGCTCCCTGCTCGGCGGGGAGTCTGCTTCTCCCTCTCCCACTCCCCCTGCTTGTGTTCCCTCTCTCGCTGTGTCTCTCTCTGTCAAATAAATAAAATCTTTAAAAACAAAACAAAAAACAAAACAAAACAAAACAAAACAAAAATGCCCTCCTCACCTCCAGGCCCAGGGGAGCTTCACAACAAGGTGTGGAGACCATGTGAATGAGTCCCCACTGCCTGGCTTGCCTGCTCTCATTTCTCCTTCATTGTCCCCTCCTCCAGGAAGCCTTCCCTGATGACTCCACACAGACTTAGGACCATTTGTTGACAAGACCATTCTCTCCGCTACCGAATTGCCTTGGCTCCCTCGTCAAAAAACGATTGCCCATAAACGTGAGGGTTTATCTCTGGACTCCTGATTCTCTTCCATCGGCCGATGTCAGTGCCACACTACTGTAGCTTGGTACTAAGTTCTGAAATCGGGAAATGTGAGTCTTCCGACTTTGTTCTTCTTTTTCAAGATGGTTTTGGCTCTTTGGGGTCTCTTGCATTTCCATATTAATTTTAGAATCAGCTTGTCAATTTCTGTAAAAAGGCAGCTGGGATTTCAACAGGGATCATGCTGTCTCTGCAGATCCGTTTGGGGAGCATGGCCATCTTCCCAATACCACATTTTCCAGTTGATGAACCCAGGATGTCTTTCCATCCTGGGTTGGAAAGATCTTGGTAGATCTTTCTGTTTCTTTCAGTGAGGTTTTATAGTTTTCAGTCTCCGTGTTTTGCACTTTTTTGTTAAATTTAGTTAAGTATTTTGTCCTTTGTGATGCTATTGTAAATGAAATTGTTTTGTGTTTTCATTTTTTGGATCGTTCACTGCTAGTGTATAGAAATAGTTGATTTTTATGTGCTGACCATATATCCTACCGCCTGACATCAGTTATTAGTTCCAATAGATGTTTTGTGAATTTTGGGGGTATTCTCTATATCCGAGATCGTATCATTTGTAAATATAGTTTTACTTCTTCCTGTCTATCCCGGACGCTTTTTATTTCCTTTTCTTGCCTGATCACACTGATCAGATCCTCCGGTGTTGGGTAGCGGTGGGGAGAGTGCACATCCTTGTCTTTTC